ACACCATGTGACAACATATACACACTGAAATTCTTCATTTTGTTATGACTAAGTAAAAATGCAACTGCACTGCTCAAAGCATGTGGAGGTCTAGATAAGAGATGAAGTCTTCGGATTGGCTTCATCTGGGGATTTTTTTGGTAATCTTTCTGGGTAAGGGGTTAGCCTAAACCTTATAAATGTATTAGGTTCTGTGTGGCGGGGGAACTCCACTTTCCAGCGGCCTGTGTGTGTGTCTGGAAAAGGCAACCTGGGTCGTGTTTGTAATTTTGCTTGTGATTAAAATAAACCAGCACTAGATGAAGAAAGACGGACTCCTTCATTATTCAGAGCTGTCCAATTAGAGAACTGGGGTACTACAGTCTGACTGCTCCATCTGAAGAACTGGCCGAAAATTCTGGCAATAACGATCCCTTCTCTGATTTACTGTCACATTGGTTTGGAAAATGGAGTGGCTTAGCCACTTCTGGTTTAATGTCTGTAGCTTTATTTACAGCCATTCTAGTTCTCTGTGGCTGTTGTTGTATCCCCTGTATTAGACAATTGTGCACCAAATGCATTACTAGAGCCATAGACTCAAAATATTCTACAACTCCTCCATATCAACTCTCTGTTAGCCTCAGATAGTGCACCCTTGGCTTCATTCCCACAGCTCATCATCTATGAAGACATCTTGGACCTGGAGGACAAAGAAGACACCAGTTATGAGTCCCCTGAAGCCCCTTTCACACAACTTTGATAAGGAGTTTAACAGAGCGGTCCCCTGAGGTGCAACTGTTGTGGTGTAGGGGATAAATAGCAAGGGGGACAGCACACATCTTTGGGGGGTCCCTGTACTGATAGTCCTGGTGTTGGATGTGGTTTTCCCCAGCCTCACCTGCTGCTTCCTGTCTGTCAGAAAGCTGGTGATCCACTGACAGGTGGGGGCAGGCACCGTGAGCTGGGTCAGTTTGGAGTGGAGGATGTCTGGAATGAGGGTCCCATAAATAGGTGCCCTGGGGGAGTCGAGGTTTTGCAGGATGTAATGCAGTGCCATGTTAACTGCATCATCCACTGACCTGTTTGCCCAACAGGCAAACTGTAGGGGCTCCAGCAGGGGGTCTGTGGTGTTCTTCAGGTGGACCAACGCCAGTCTTTCAAAGGTCTTCATGACCACAGATGTCAGAGTGACAGGTCTGTAGTCATTCTGTCTACTGATGGATGGCTTCTTGGGAACTAGGATGATGGTTGAATGTTTGAAGCAGAAGGGGACTTCACATAGCCCCAGTGATCAAATCAAATCAAATTTTATTTGTATAGTGCCAAATCACAACAAAAGTCATCTCAGGACACTACAGAGTAAGGTCTAGACCTTACTGTTTTCACTATTATTACATAGGGAAAACCCAACAAATCCCCCTTGAGCAGCACTTGGTGACAGTGGGGAGAAAAAACTCCCTTTAATGGAAGAAACCTCCGACAAACCCTGGCTCTTGGTGGGCGGCCTTCTGCCTCGACTGGTTGGATAGTGAATATTACTCCAAGATTTTTAACAGAATCTTTGAGTGGGAGGGCTGAGACATCTAAACTGGGTGCAATTGCAGTTGAATCAGGGCTATATTCAGTTTTACTTTCATTTAAATGGAGAAAGTTCTGAGCTAACATTTCTTAATATCTCAAATGCAATTATATAATGGGGCAAATGCATCCCCAGCAGTCTAGGCCTATAGCAGCATAACTAAGGGAAGGCTCATGACTATAAGCTTTATCAAAAACAAAAGTCTTAAGTCTAATCTTAAAGTCTTAAGTCTAATCTTAAAGGTAGAGAGGGTGTCCGCCTCCCGAACTGAGATGCTCCTGAGTTTTGCAATATTGTGCAGGTAAAAAAAAAAAAGGCAGTTCTAGAGACTTGGTTAATGTGTGATTTAAATGCCATATCCTGGTCAAAAATGACTCCAAGGTTCCTCAAAGTAGTACAACACAAGCACAATGACTTCAGTTTTGTCAGAGTTTAGGAGTAAAAAGTTACAGGTCATCGAGGTCTTTATGTCTTTAAGACATGCTTGAAGTTTGACAAGCTGATCTGATTCATTTAGCTTTATAGATTAATATAACATCATGTGCATAGCAATGGAAATGTATGTTGTGCTTCCTGATAATATTGCCTAAAGGGAGCATGTATAAAGTGAAGAGAATTGGACCTAACACAGAGCCCTGTGGAACGCCGTGACTAACTTCAATTTGTGTGGAACATTCGTCATTAACATGAACAAATTGAAATCTTTCTGAAAAATAAGATTTGAACCAACTTAGCGCAGTTCCTTTAATCCCAATAACATGTTCAAGTCTCTGCAGTAAGATGCTGTGATCAATGGTGTCAAAAGCAGCACTGAGATCTAAGAGGACAAGTATGGAGACAAGTCCTGTGTCCGAGGCTAGGAGAAGATCATTGGTGACTTTCACGGTCATGCGGTTTCTGTACTATGATGGACTCTAAACCCTGACTGAAAATCCTCAAAGAAATCATTCTTGTGCAAGTGGTCACATAACTGCTTTGCAACAGCTTTTTCAAGGATTGTGGAAATAAATGGGAGATTGGATATTGGTCTATAATTAGCTAGGACACCTGGGTCAAGAGTAGGCTTTTTGAGTAGCGGTTTAATTACTGCAACCTTAAAAGCCTGTGGAACATAACCTGTTAATAGAGAGAGGTTAATCAGATCTAGTAGGGATGTGTTGAGGAAAGACGTCTTTGAGCAGCCTGGTCGGGATGGGGTCCAGGAGACATGTTGATGATTTAGATGAAGCAATTGTTGAGGTCAACTCAAAGAGATCTATAGGGGAGAAGTAGTCCAAGTATAAATGAGGTCTTACAGATGTTTCTAAAACCATTGTAGTAGATGGCACATCTGCGAGAGCTGTGGGAGTGGTCCGACCAATTTTTTCTCTAATAGTTGTGATTTTATTTGTAAAGAAGCTCATGAAGTCATTGCTGCTGAGATCTAAGGGAATGAAAGAAACCTGGGGTTGCTTATTTTCCTCAATCAGTGATGAATAAAATGCGGTTCTGGCACTACGAAGGGCTTTCTTATGTATTATTAAACTATCTTTCCAGGCTATAACTCTTCTGATCTGAAGTGAAGTGCTGCTTCTCAGTCCTGCAGTAAAATATATTATCTGCCAGTTGGTGGCTCTCAACAGCATGGCGGGATGATTCCCTATGGCTGGTGATGGTAGGCCTCTCCAAGGTGACACATGGTTGTTAGCAGTGGCTCCTCTTTGCCACCCTGGTCTCCTTAGTCAGTGTGTTTCTGGCCTGGTTATACAGGATCCTATCCCCACTTCTGTAGGGCTCCTCCTTGGCATGACAAAGCTTGATTTTTACAAAGCTCAAAGTGTCTCCTGTGATTATTCGCCATTTCTTCACACATGTGAAAGTCTTTACAAGCCCCTTTCAAACATGAGTAGCTGTAACTTTGCAAACTACTTGTAGCCATGTAGCAGTTGCTTTTTTTGGCATTCAGATAAAGCTGTTGTGCACAAAATTCCTAGCAAAGCTTAGTTCAAACACAGCAGGACCAGCGAGACAGACACAAACCAGTGGCATTTACTATTTAACTTGTTAGTAATTTCATCTTTTGCATAAAGGGTGAACAGTTCTCTGATTTTTATGTCAAACCAATTCCCAGCCTTTCTGCATTAGCACACACTGCTCAACTTTATCTTCTCTGTACCAGCTCAAAATAAACTTGGTACAAGCTAGTGATGTTTTTTTTTTTTTTTTTTTGTCCCCAAATTTCACTCCCTTCCCTAAATCCACTCCAGGTCAGTGGTGGTTGAGCGAGCTTGAAAGTGAATGAAGACAGGGAGTAGCATTAACCAGGACAAAGCAATGAATCAAAGGAAATGTGGCAGCACTGTTGGCCTTACCTGGAGTTTGACCACTTCAATTCAGAGATGTAGCCAGTAAGAATGTAGCAAACTATTTGACTAGGTCCAGCCAGGTAAAACTAACATTTTGCCCGCTACGCAATGCAGGGTTTTGTTCAAACATGACACCTAGACATGAAATAGCAGGAAAATTCCTAGGTAGGGGTACATGTCTGAAAGGGTCTACAGTAGAGGCCAACTGCCTTTCCCCACCTCAGTCTCCTGCACCAAGCAAGCATATCCCAGACTGATATCTTTAACAGAGACCAAACTGAAGTCAACTTGTCATCAACTTGCCAGTAAGACAGCAAACAAGCTGGCACCCGAGAAATGTAGCATTAACATACTGTATTATTACTGAGATGAACAACTACTGTAATAAGTGAATTTCACATTATAATCCCTTACACTATTTGTTACTGCGCAACAATGACTTCTGGTTGCCCAAAAGCTCAATTTATATACAGTTTTCTTTTCTAGCCTTAGATAGACTTTCAGATATTGAAAGTCTTTAAGAGGAAAAATTAATAAATTAAGCTCAGTGTTTTTTCAGGTAAAATTTGTCAGGTGTATTTAAATTTTGATATTATGTATTCATTTGATAATGATATATATTATGGAATCATTTGCTTCCATAAATGCTTTATTCTTTTTAGTCTTCATTTTATTCAGTTTCCTTTTGGTGCTAATCAGCAGACTTATATACATCTGTAACACGGCACAGATTTGGCTCACAGTTGATGTTTTCTGGAATGTGCTGATACTGGGCTTCAAAAAGCCACACGGGTCTGATCTGTAACAGGGTGAGGAGAGAGGAAAAGGTTGCAGCCTGTGTAATGTGCTGTTGGGACAGAGCTGCGGCAGATGCTTGATCTCGCTGAACATTGGTTATGGGACATCTAACAGCAGTAGGCCTGCTGCTTCAAACTAGTGACTGACACAGCAGAGCTGTGGCCACATATGTCTATGGAGGCAATCTATCTACCGAGACCTCTGTGCACACATCAGCTGCTCATACCTTCTTTCTCAGTACCTTGCTTTTTTTCCATCCCACCACAAACACTTGTAGCTCATTTCCAAAACACTGGGCTTGTCAAAACAAGTTTTATTGGATAAAATCTCAAAGCACAACACATATTTAAGGTAAAATACATAATTTAATATTGAAAGCATTTACAGAATAATGTATAAAGGCTCTACTCCCAATGAACTCTAACATCTGTTTACAAAAGCTCAAGTGAGGCATTCACTGATAGATAATGTGAAATATTAAATCAATACATACACCCCCTTTACAAGTGGAAGAAGGAAATAAGCTACCAGTTCCTAAGATACATTCATAACATGATCCCCATTACTTCTGGAATTTTCAGGATGTTTGTGTATGCAAAAATGTAAATAAAAGAATGTATTTAAAATTGTTCCAGATTTTAATAGGCTTTGGCGCTGAAAGCCAAACATTTGATATGTACGTACAGTAGATATTTTGTACTGTTCCTCATGAATATCAACTAAGCAAGGACAGACTATCACTGAAAAAGACTGCTATTCATGAAGTACAAATACATAAGTCAGCAAAATACTGATTTAAAAAAATGACAAAGAATTTTACAGAAAACCACAAGACACTCTGCTACAAGGCTGGAGGGATGTGTTCAAGCAGCCATGAAGACAGAAGGAAACCACCTTGGCCATACCGTATCCCAATAGAAAATGTGAAATTGTCATCATGCCATGTTGAACTTTGGGTAAATGCACCATTTTGGAAGATCACACTCATTATCCATCATAGATACTGTATACGTTATATACAGTATATCTGTAAGTTAATAAAAAACAAATACTATCCCATACAATTACAAACAGCAATGGATGCTGCAACTATGTCCAAATGTCCACTTTAGTGTTCAGTCTGAGCACAGAAAGGACAGAAATTGAGTCATCTGCAGTATTTGTGTTATCTGCTGACAGCTGATAGCTAGTGTCAGCATCCGAACGAGAGCTTAGATCAGGGTGCAGTCACTTTTCAATCTGTCACTCTCAACAATGGGATCTCTATGAGTTAGCCACAGTTAGCAACAGCCTGCTAAGGTTATCTACTCTGAATTACCACAGACAGTAAAGTGAGATCAAAACAATTTAAGCAAATATTTAGCCAAACAAAACAAGAATGTATGCCGGTAAATACAGCACATACAGTGTCTCCCAACATGGCGCCCCAGTCCCAACATTCAACATATGGCGTACCTTCACATTCTCTATACATCTAAGTATTTAGCCTAGTGTTTGTCTTCTGCAATCATACATATTTGCAGATGGCTGCCTCGGTTCTGTACCAGAAACAAATTCCTTCTGTGTAACATACTTGGCCAAATAAAAGTGATTATTCCATCACAGCTGGATAGGTCCAGTCTTAAGGGGTCTTTCCATTATAGGATGGGGATTATATCAGACACAGAGCATCCAGGCACAGACCTGACTGACACGCTTCCCTGGATCTGGCGGCTCCCATATCAGCCCTTTGCAAAGATGCCTCCTACTGGAACAGCTGTGGAGCTAGACCGAAATCGTCAACTGCAGCCAGGGCTTGGTCTGATGTTGTCCACGACAGAGGTAAGCTGAGTAGGATATCTTACAGGAGGGCACCAGTGCTTACTTCACCACCTGAACTCCCACTGCAAAACAGGTATAAGCCACTGACTTGAAATGAAATGGGTGACAGTATGAAAATAGCTGAACTCAGGGAAGATAGTCACATCACCAGCACTAAGGCAAGCCAAAAAACAACAAATAGCCCCAAAGCCACAACCTGGTAGAGGACTAGAGGAAGCAATGCTAATGCCAAACCTGTCACACGTGATGCTATTCTGACTAGGGTCTCCATAGCTAAGTAAAGTAAAGTAAAGTAAAGATGGCTAAAAACTGAAAATCTAACTGTGGCTGACACATCTGTCAGGGAACTAGCAGAACTGCTGCCAGTCATCCTCTCTACACATCCAAGTTATGTGGAAATTATTAACCATGCTGGGTCTTTTGACATTCTGTGAAGGAAAACTGGCTCCAAAATCCTGAAAAAAGACTTCTCACTGCTACTGGACAAACTGAACCACTATCAGTCACAAAATGTGTTCATCTCTGGCCCCATTCCAACTTTTAGAAAGGGAATGGCATCATTTAACTGACTCCTGATCCTGAATATATGGCTGTATACAGAGCGCCTCACTCGTGGGCTAAAGTTCATTGATAACTTCAATATTTTTTGGAACTGTAAAGATCACCTCAAACCTGATGGGGTATATCCAAACCTGTCTGGATCCTGAACTCCCACCCCATGAAATGAAATGGGTGACAGTCCAATAAAGTGCCTTAGTGCTGGTGATGTGACTATCTTCCCTGAGTTCAGCTATTTTCATACTGTCACCCATTTCATTTCATGGGGTGGGAGTTCAGGATCCAGACAGGTTTGGATATACCCCATCAGACCCCACCTGACTGCGGGGTGCCAAATTACACCATGCCCTTGGGATATCCTATCCAAACAAGAATACTTGGATAAGCTCGAAGGACAGTGCACACAGAGACAGCCTGTGTCTCTGCAACCTCAGCTGTCTCTCTGCTCCAGATCACTCAGGGCACCATGCTTCTTACAGAGACTGGGGTTGCAAACTGCTCTATTGAAAGAGTTCTCATCAAAACAACCCCCCCCCACACAAATTATAACTGTTACAGTGTTTCTAGACTTGACAAAAGGGGTGGTGGTGTTCCTGCTATTTTTAAGAATACATTTCAGTGTAAGCAGATTTCATTTGGTGACTTTAATTCTTTTAAATGTCTCTGTACTATGGTGCAAACTTCATCAAGCATTTTATTAGTTACTGTCTACACCCCCTAAGTACTGTGCACACTTCATTGATGACTTGTCTGAACTGCTGTCACTTAATTGTACTGATTTTAAATTTTATTTGAACTCAGTTCAATATTTGTATAGACAATCTCAAAGATAACACAGCTAAAGAACTTCTTGCCCTATTTGACACTTTGCACCTAGCACAGCATATAACTGCCCTGATACACTCAAGGTCATACACTAGATTTGCTTATCAGTAAGGGCCTTACTTTTCCTGCTGTGAATACTGGGGATCTAGCACTGTCTGATCACTTCAACATTTTCTTACTGGGGAATTACTTTCCCCATTCATTCAGATGAGATCTCAGATTGTCAAAAAAGGTACCTTAATGAGAATGCCAGTGCTGCACTTATGGAAGCCCTATTCAAATCATCAGTGATAGACGTAGGAGGAGTAGAAGAACATCTTGATCATTTTAATTCCAAAACACTCAGGATCATTGATGCAATAACACCTGTTAAGACTACAGTTGTTTCTGGCAAACAGAAAGCCCAGTGGAGAAATGCTGCAACAGTAGCATATCAGAGGAGTGAATGCAGAAACGGAGAACAAAGCTGGAGAAAAACTAAACTTCAGATCTAGAAAGAGAAACTTCATCTTTATAACTCTGAGCTACGCAGAGCTAGGCAGGCTCATCTCTTTAATATCATAAATGGAAATATTAACACTCATGCTTTATCTGCCACTGTTGATAGGTTCACAAATCCCCCATTGCAGCCACCTCGAGTTTCTTGGCGACTAAAAAATGTAACAAGTTTGCAGAACCTTTTCATCAAAAAATTGAAACTATTAAAGTATTAGATCTACATAGCCATGCAGAGACAAAACAACCTCATTACTATCTGAAAAACAATGGCTTGTATGTCTGAATTAACCGCAATTAACAACAAAACTCTAGAAGAAATGGTGCACCATCTTAAAATGTCTACCTGCTCATTCTACCTACAAGCTTCTTGACAAGTGTTTTTAGCTCTTTGTCAGTGGATTTGTTGTCTATTGTAAATGATTCACTCCTATCAGGCATCTTTGCAACATCATTAAAAACAGCAATTATAAGGCTTCTCCTGAAAAAGAGAAATCTGGACCTTCAGTACTAAGTAACTACACACTCACCTCCAATCATCCCTTCACAAGTAAGATTATTGAGAAAGTAGTTTTTAACCAAATCAAGTACTTACTGCAAGAAATGATATCCTTGATAGATTTCAATCAGGTTTCTGGTAGTACCAAGGCACTGAAACTGCTCTCATAAAGATTTTAAATGACATCTGCTTGAATAATGATGTAGGGAACTGAACAGTCTTGATGTTATTAGATCTTAGTTCAGCATTTGACACTGTGGAACATGAATTACTTCTAGATAGAATGGAAAACCGGGTCAGACTATCAGTAAATCAACCATACTATTAATAACAATAATGCAGTTTAATACTTGTACACACTTTATGAAAGTGTACATTTGGTCGATGTGTACTCCTCCTATTTAGAGGCCCATTGTTCTGGCAATGGTAAATCCTAATAATACAGCATAGATCAATATTTGAGACACTAGAACTCTTCAAACTTTCTGCCAACAGTTTGCGTTTGGCCCTTCCCTGGTTCAGTACACACAAAGCCAGTTCTGTAAAAAAATCCATTTGTCTGTGGTAGACCTTGACTGGCCTGCAGAGAGCCCTGAAGATGAATGCCAAATTTGAGCCAGGCCTTATCACCAAACATCAGTGCTGGACCATGCTAATGCTCTAGTGGTCGAGAGGGAACAGATCCCTGCAGCCAGACTTCAACATGCAGTGAAAAGTCTGTGAGGATGTGAGGCTGTATATATCAGTATGACATGGTCAACTATCACATTTGACTGAAATGGTAAGACTGCCCACATACATTGCACCATATAGTGCATAGTTTTTCCTGTCACAATGGAGCATCTGAGAAGTTTTAAAGATGTTGGTTTGCTCAAAGTGCAGTAAGGTATCACAAACTCAGGTCTCATACTGACAAAAGTGTCTCAAACTTGTGATGATACCCAGCCATGACAGCAATCAATTGTCATGGTTCAGAAAAGAGCTACCAGCCCAAAGGATAAGGACTGTCAAAACAGGATAATGGATGCAGAAAAGACTGAAAAAATAATTAAACCTTAAATTGAGGCAATAAGTAAAATTTTGATTTGTTTGGATGTGTGCTGGTGTGTGGGCCTGGTGCACATCTCCACTGTAAACCTGTGATATGGACATAAAAAAATTTGATTGCATGTGTAAAACTGATGCTATAAGCTTACTGAATCAGTATTTTATATTCAGCAAGTTTGCATGACTGTTTTATTATGATTATTATCATGCATTTTAAATTGAGAATTAATTTTTATCAATGCTGTCTTTCTTAAATAAACGGATACATGAAAATTGTCAAATTTAAAGATATTATTATTTACATACTGTAAATTACCAGCTTCATTCAAAAAAATAGATGTTCTGACACAGGTATGGATGGAGCTTCAGCACCTATGGCCTTTGTTCAGTCTCTCCCTCTAACTAGTAAGAATCTGGATTCCCCCCCAACAAAAGCAGGCAGTGCCTGATTACAAAAGCATTGCCTCTGGAGGAGGGAGTGTTGCAGGCCCTTACAGCAGCAGGAAGTGATATTGATGTTTACGCCATGGTATAACCGTAGCTCCCACAATGCAGGGCCACCAGTAGCCGGTCTCTCAAGACCTCCTGGCTTGGGTATTCTGGGAGTTTCAGCATGTTGATACTGTGGAGAGGAGACAAAAGGGGGGCATGGTCAACACTGTTGAACACTGTGATCATGATGGTCATTTGTAGTTGGAGGAGTGCTGATGTGTCCTAACTACCCAAAAGAAAAACCTGCAACATTATGAATAAGCTAATGCACATTCCACCATGCAGAGATCTCTCCATGTTTTCATAGCGTACCAGTGCAGGAGGACACTGCTCCCCAGCACCAGCAACACTGAAGACACATACTGCCCCCTAGTGCTTTGAACTGTTTGTCAAAGGTCCCTCAGTTAAGACTGTCCAGTGATTTGTACTGGGATTGTTTAGTCAATTGAGGGGACAAAGTGAGGGATCAATAGAAACCTTAGTGAAGAATAAACCTACAACTTTCCAGTACTGCTGAGCATACTTGCCTGCACAGTAGGAATTATGGCACCACACCAGAGCCATAGAACTATTAAGACTAAGTGTAAGACAAGTCTCTGATTTTTGGGCTACCAGATTGGGCACAGACATTTTCATATTATCTGTATTTTCTATCTTGTAGATATTTTTATTGCTATGAGCAATATTGTTGTAGCCTTCATAAGAACTGTATATTGTATAGAAAAAATATATACAGTATATCCAAGGATTGGCAGCCTAGGTCCAGTGACCATGCCTGCCTCCTGGTTTACATTGCACCTGACCCCAGTCTCTGCAGGTGGTGGGCCCACAGGGTGGTAGCCCCAGGCAGCTCTTCCCCAGGAGGAGCTTGAGAATGCTGTGGGAGAGATGGACGTCTGGATTGCTTTGCTAAATCTGCTGCCCTGGATAAACGAATGATAATGGCTGGATGGATAGATAGTTCTATGTATATTTACAGGTTTAAAAATGTAAACATTTGTGTCAAGTGATCCTCAACTGACCATTGTCTATCAAGAGCCACAAGAACCTTTAAAAGCACCCAACTGTTGCTGATCATGGAATGATCAAGTCTAAAGATGCTGGAAGATAAAATTCACTGTTCGCTTGCATATTTTTACTTAGGTATGACTATTTATAAATGAACCCGATCTAGACATGCATTGTATGTGCTGCTATTTCCACAGTATGTATTATTCATTAACAGTTTATTTTCCAGTTCCATTGCTTACTATAATTACCCAGAAAGAAACTGATGTGTAATTGAAAATTCTGAAGAGTGAAGTGACAATGTTATTTTGTAACAGTAGCATGGTAAAATGGAGACAGTGTTCAATAATTTATTCCAATTACTAGTTTGTAAACTACCAGTGTACAGTAGGTGAACTGCACATAAAAAAGTATTAGAACAAAATATCTACTTGGTTTAGTTTTTTAAGTTATAAATACTTCAATGGTTCTTTTATAGAAATTCTAAAGTGATTATAAACTAATCTGAAATAACTGTCTCACACAGTTGCTTTCAGAAAACTATCTGAGAAAGACAGGCAGACAAATATGCAGTTCTTACATTTGTAAATAAAGGGGATCTCGAAGGGGAACTGATGGCTGACAGCAGAGCAGCCTATAAGAGAGTGGTGCCAGGTGTTCTGGCAAAGGCAGCATAAATAAATAAATTAAGGGCTAACTGGGCTCAGTTGAGAGCAAAGACTGTAACAGGTCATACTGGTGGCCAAGACTGAGGCATGCTAAGTTGACAATAGTTGAATAAACATCACAAGAAGGACTCAAGACCAAGATCTAACTGAAATGCCACAAGCCTGAAGAGAATTAAGGCAACAGAAAGATGTTGACAGAGACATGGAGGGATTACCAGGTACTAGAGGTAGGCAGTAGGTTGGGGGTGTATGGCACTGCAGCAATGGTGAACTTTTGTAAACCGCTCCCACCCATCAGGTAGGCAAAGCCACCATGAGGAACCCTGGAACTGATAGACAAGGACACTTTATTACAACAGACACTCACACAAGCTTCATACCAAAAACTACGTACAGTAAAACCTTAGATTCCGAGTATAATTTGTTCCGGCAATGTGCTCGTAATCCAAAGCACTCGTATATCAAAGCGTATATCATCGGTTGTGACATGACGCTCGACAAAGCGTACGTACTAGTCGTATTGGCAAGACCTCACCCATTTATCAAATTCAAATTTTTGCTCGTCTTGCAAAACACTCGCAGACTGGGTTACTCGCAATCCATGGTTTTACTGTATAGTGTAAATCCAGCAGACAAACCTTCCAGTGACAAACTGAAGCAGAAGAACCCGCTCCTCCTGGGTCAGGCTCTTCACCACCTCCCAGAACCACTGCCAAAAATGCAGACAAATTAGCTGATGGATAACAAGAACAAACCCCAAATGGTGAAGTTTTTTGTCCACAAAGAAGTGGCCAAAATGCAGTCCTACTTAATCTGTGGTAGAGTAAAATAGGTCCTGGTGAGTGTTGCTGGGGATGGTAAAGTATTTATCCTCAGTCATCCATCCATTCATTACCATAAAATCCGGACTATTGAGCGCACCTGACTATAAGCCACACCCACTAAATTTAAGAAGAAAAATTTTTTTTGTATATATATATAGGCCGCACATGTCTATAAGCCACAGGTGTCCACGTTGTAACGAGAGATATTTACATAAAAAGATGTTACACAGCTTTTGTCATCTTTATGGATTGAGTCAGTTCTTCACGCCATGGTATAACTGTAGCTCCCACAATGCAGGGCCACCAGTAGCCGGTCTCTCAAGACCTCCTGGCTTGGTTATTCTGGGAGTTTCAGCATGTTGATACTGTGGAGAGGAGACAGTAGGGCATGGTCAACACTGTTGAACACTGTGATCATGATGGTCTTGCCTTCTCCAACGTCTCACCATCAATTGATGCCAAGCTTACGTGCAGCAGCTCTGCTTCCTTCTTCGAAAGCCAGATCGATCGCATTTAACTTGAAAGCTGCATCGTATGCATTTCTTCGTGCGTTTTCCATGATGAGGGTGTGTGCATGAAGCGCAAAATGACTGATCTGAAGAATTTAGTGTGAGTGCATTTGATTTAATTTGAACAGTTTCATTGGTCCACTGTGACCTGTTCGGTAATTTCATTGGTCTGATGTGACGAGGCTAAATGTATTGGTGGCATGAAGCTCGTTAGCCTGTAAAATTCAATAAATTAGCCGCATAGTTGATTAAGCCACCGGGTTCAAAGCTTGTAGCGGATTATAGTCCGGATTTTACGGTATCTATACTGCTTATCCTGAAGAGGGTCACGTTAGGTCATGTTAGGCAAGAGGCAGGGTCCACCCTGGAGAGGTTGCAGTCTATCACAGCGCTATGGGCAACCTACCTGGAGAAAACCCATGCAGGCACAGGGAGAACATGCAAACTTCGCACAGGAAGGCACCAGATCGGCCGGGGCTCAAACCACATACCTTCTTGTTGTGAGGCGACAGCACTAACCACCATCCACCATGCCGCCCATCCTCAATCATCATCCTATCATCCTATCATTCTAAGCCAATTAGTTAGTTTGAACTCTTTCGTATTTTCTTTTTAAGCTGGGAACATTTGATGAATGAACACAAAGTGCCCTCATTTCTGTTCACAATGTAAAATGATGCTTACAGTAAATGCTCTTTGTGTGCTGAGCTGAAATAATTTAATGTGCTTGCAGGTGAGTCAGAAAACAGAAAACAAAAGCATGGACGAGGAAAAATTGAGTTTTAAGAAGCACCTACCTGGGTTATATCCAGGTTCAAATGCATTTTATAATTCAGTTTTTACTAAGGATTTTATGTTTTTTTGGTTCTGTGTCTGTGTTTGTGTGTTGGTTTGCTATGTTGTTGGTGTTGCTATGTCTATCGCCAGATCAAATTTCATCCGGATCTGATCCAGATTCTGGATCTGACGGGCATTTAAAGTTAACATTGAAAACCCCATTTAACACATATTTTCTGCCATAACTTGGTAGAACCCTGAAATGTTCAGATAAGGTGCACAGCATAACTGCTGGACCTTATTCTAAAATTTGATGACACAGTGTGTCCCTTATGGCATAAAGTTGTGCTGCTCTTATGGTGCAGATTTATACATGAAATAGTCAACTGTCTTTTACAGTCTGACATCTAAGAACTCAATGAAAAAAAATGGTATTCCAGCATATCACTGTTTAGTAAATGTTGCTTTCCTTGAATTATTTTTTAATCCATAAATTCAATAAGGCAACAACATGTGCCAAGGTTTGGACAACCAAACTGGTGAACATCAATAGCTGTGTTAACATGGACCCTAATATTTAACTAATACTTAGAATAAGTCAGAATAAAAATTAATTATGTAACCACCTCAGTAGCCACAGACTAGCCCAATCTGAAAGAAATTTCGATCACAATAAAAGGGGCAGTTGATCTGATTGTTTCTCTGTTATTGGAATAAATATATCCCCTCTGAGCATATTTGCCCCATGTGGCAAACAAATTCCACCTTAAAGGTTGCTGGCAGCATTTCAGCTGCACAAAATACAGTAGCTGTGTTTTTAGCTGATGATAACTACAGTGCCTTGCGAAAGTATTCGACCCCTTGAACTTTGCGACCTTTTGCCACATTTCAGGCTTCAAACATAAAGATATAAAACTGTAATTTTTTGTGAAGAATCAACAACAAGTGGGACACAATCATGAAGTGGAATGAAATTTATTGGATATTTCAAACTTTTTTAACAAATAAAAAACGGAATAATTGGGCGTGCAAAATTATTCAGCCCCCTTAAGTTAATACTTGGTAGCGCCACCTTTTGCTGCGATTACAGCTGTAAGTCGCTTGGGGTATGTCTCTATCAGTTTTGCACATCGAGAGACTGAAATTTTTGCCCATTCCTCCTTGCAAAACAGCTCGAGCTCAGTGAGGTTGGATGGAGAGCGTTTGTGAACAGCAGTTTTCAGTTCTTTCCACAGATTCTCAATTGGATTCAGGTCTGGACTTTGACTTGGCCATTCTAACACCTGGATATGTTTATTTGTGAACCATTCCATTGTAGATTTTGCTTTATGTTTTGGATCAGTGTCTTGTTGGAAGACAAATCTCCGCCCCAGTCTCAGGTCTTTTGCAGACTCCATCAGGTTTCCATCCAGAATGGTCCTGTATTTGGCTCCATCCATCTCCCCATCAATTTTAACCATCTCCCCTGCCCCTGCTGAAGAAAAGCAGGCCCAAACCATGATGCTGCCACCACCATGTTTGACAGTGGGGATGGTGTGTTCAGGGCGATGAGCTGTGTTGCTTTTACGCCAAACATAACGTTTTGCATTGTTGCCAAAAAGTTCGATTTTGGTTTCATCTGACCAGAGCACCTTCTTCCACATGTTTGGTGTGTCTCCCAGGTGGCTTGTGGCAAACTTTAAACAACACTTTTTATGGATATCTTTAAGAAATGGCTTTCTTCTTGCCACTCTTCCATAAAGGCCAGATTTGTGCAGTATACGACTGATTGTTGTCCTATGGACAGAGTCTCCCACCTCAGCTGTAGATCTCTGCAGTTCATCCAGAGTGATCATGGGCCGCTTGGCTGCATCTCTGATCAGTCTTCTCCTTGTATGAGCTGAAAGTTTAGAGGGACGGCCAGGTCTTGGTAGATTTGCAGTGGTCTGATACTCCTTCCATTTCAATATTATCACTTGCACAGTGCTCCTTGGGATGTTTAAAGCTTGGGAAATCTTTTTGTATCCAAATCCGGCTTTAAACTTCTCCACAACAGTATCTCGGACCTGCCTGGTGTGTTCCTTGTTCTTCATGATGCTCTCTGCGCTTTAAACAGACCTCTGAGACTATCACAGTGCAGGTGCATTTATACGGAGACTTGATTACACACAGGTGGATTCTATTTATCATCATTAGTCATTTAGGTCAACATTGGATCATTCAGAGATCCTCACTGAACTTCTGGAGAGAGTTTGCTGCACTGAAAGTAAAGGGGCTGAATAATTTTGCACGCCCAATTTTTCAGTTTTTTATTTGTTAAAAAAGTTTGAAATATCCAATAAATTTCGTTCCACTTCATGATTGTGTCCCACTTGTTGTTGATTCTTCACAAAAAAATTACAGTTTTATATCTTTATGTTTGAAGCCTGAAATGTGGCAAAAGGTCGCAAAGTTCAAGGGGGCCGAATACTTTCGCAAGGCACTGTAAGTAAAACTAAAAGCCAGCAACACATCCTAAAGTTTATGGAACAACTAAGAGAGTAAAAGCTTCTAATTATGTAAAATTAGTTAAACAATGGTAGCTATGGGCTAGCTAATGGGTTCTACCAATGATACTAGTGAGCTAACTAGCATTAATGACAACATTTGTGCAAATCATAAACGTTATATTCTGTTTAAATACTTTGAGCATGTAAATTCACACCTTATCATTACAGCATCCATATAAACAGTTAATTTGGAATCTCAAATCAAAACAATTTAAATCTGATTGAGAAAATATTGTCCAAATATAGTCTCAAATACAAATAGTTTCAATATAGTAACAAAACAGGTAAATATTTGGCAAATCAATTACAATGTAAAAATGAAAAGACAATCATTACATCCATACTAGACTCTACAGGTGAAACTGTTCATAAGCCACAAGATATTAACAATGTATTTCAAGCCTTTTATAGCAAACTATACTCCTCTGATCATGAACCAAATCCATCTGAAATAGATACAGTACTTTCCTAAACAATATAAAATTACCAACACTATCCAGAGAACAAACCTATACCTTAGATGCTCCCATCACTCTGGATGAACTCCATAAAGCACTGAAATCCATGCCAAATAATAAATCACCTGGACCTGACAGATTCCCTGCTGAATTTTATAAACACTTCTGGCAGATATTATCACTGCTATTTCTCAGAGTTATCACTGAAATTAAAACCACCTCCACAGTACCGACACATAAATGCTGCTGCCATGACACTCCTGCT